AGAGAGAGAGAGAGAAAGAATGACATTTCTTTAGTTTAAACTGTAACTGTGGAGTATATTTTAAAACCATTTGTAATGTAAAAATAGGTTAATTGTTTCAGAAAAATCCAAAATGGGCATTTCTTGTTAAAAACAAATCATATTTCAAACTCAGGCAATTGTGAGAAGAGAATTTGTTAATTTTCACATACACATTTTATTTTGCATCATAGGATTGGGAAAAAAAATGGCCCTACTGTATGTGGCTGTGTATTCCTGAGGGCAAACCAATCTGGCATAAAGATTCTTCATAGGGAGAGCCATTACCAGAACAACGGTCAGAACATAACCATCCAAACAAATGTAAAGACATCACATTCCCAATCTCACTGGCAGAAAATGATAATTGGCTGTATTTCTTTTAAACTTTACAAAACATCTTTCAATTTGGCAGTCATTCAAGTCTATACATGTTGATGATAGTGGAAATCCATAACCATTCTGCTCTGTCGTTCATAACAACAAATTTGAACAGTATCATTTCTTTGATGTTTAACATCATAAACACATGTCATTAAAACATCCTATTTCTCTACAAGTGACATTGGACATTTTTAATTAATCTATCCAATGCATTATAGGTGACCTGCTCCAAATTCCTGTCATCTTCTCATTTCACAAACTGTCATATTGTATTTTAAATATTGCACTATCATCATGTCACTGGATGTAACTGTAAAAGGAACAGATATATATATAAATATGTATTAAGAGATTAATGCTGGGAATGGCAGAGAAGTATATTTCCATTTGTGTTTGCTTTGGATATCACAGCTGATGTGTTACTTGGTTACCATACAAAATCTTCTATTAACCATTTGTTGAGAAACATTTTTAGTATAATGCATAATAGGTTTCCCAGCAAAAGAAGTATGAAACACAGTTAGTTATTTTGGCATATTAGTTTTCGCCTGTGTTTTTTGCCTCATAATTCTCAATAGATGAACATTTCTCAAAAAAACAAAAAATACAGCACAGCCAAGTATACATGTCTTTTTGTTTATGTTCTCGATTCCCCTCTTTGCCATTATGATTCTCCTCCTCAGCTTAGCTGACAATGGGTTTGTGCTTATTTTCACCAAAATGCTCTGTGCAAAAATACAATGATACAGTAGCTTCATCAAAACAAGCTAACAGTTTGAGCATTAATGAAAAAAAGGACTCACGGTAATAAATCACAAAAAAATACAACATTGGGTTTGGCTTGCATAGCAAAGCAAAAGAAAGAGAAAAACATTAAAAAATCTATTTACAAATTATGCAAGTCCTTTTTCATTTGAATCATTAGTCATTTTGTTAGTTGTGTGTTTTCTTCCTCATCTCCACTGTGTGAATTGTTGTACACCATGTGACAGAAAATAGAAGCGGACACATAACGCACTGTTTACTCCTTTGAAGAGGGGGATGAAAATAACACTGTGAGAGTGGTGTCTGTGTCTGTACATGACATTTACAGCTCTGCATTTTATCCTGCACAATTTTGCTTCTTTGTCTTTATTCTGTCTCCATTTTCCAAACATCATACAGTGTCACTCGCAGAGAAAAATCTCATAGCGCTTATAAACAAGGTGTCCTGGGACAGGCAGCAACTGTGGGGAATGATGCTTCACATAAACTCTGAAAGAAAGACAGACAGACAGACACAAAGGAAACAATGTAAAGTCTGGATGATATAAAAAACTTTACTCTCACAATCTGGATTTTCAGCTGCCACTCTCAGGATGTGTCTGAGGTGACAAGACAAAAGATTTTGTTCAATCTATACCAAAACTGTATTTGTTTTTGTTTTTTCTAGGTTATGTATAAAATTTAATAATAAAAAAAATCCCAGGTGATCCCACTTTATTTTATTATTCCCCTTCCACCAGATTCTACAGTTTCTTTTAACTGAATTTTACCATTCATAGGAACAGCCTTTTTAACTTTGGGGTTCACTGTTAGTAGAATATAACATCACTGCTAATATTGCAAACCCTTGAATGTGGTATACTGTTTCAGAGAACACTTAGTGTTTGTTAGATTTAGGAAAAACTGACAAGCATAAGAGTGTCAGGAACTTTGCCAATAGCCAAAATGGTATGGTTACACTACTGGTCAGAGCATCTCAGTCCTGTCAGTTGATCCCACATGACTGAGATGCTACGTTTTGAACATTACATACAAAAAATACAACAAAAGATAAGTTTGAACTGGTTGCATGAAGAGTGAATTCTAACCTGTAGCATCCACTGCTGAAAGCCTTAAGGCTGCTTATGAGAGAAAGGTGAAAACACAATGGATCTATATGCTTGGTGGCCTGATCTTATACATCACATTTTCAGTGAGGTGTGTTTCCCTGTTATGCAGGAAAGACACTGGTGCATAACAGGAAGCTATTATACATCGGAAGAGTGATGCTCTGGCCAATGCACTCATGTAGTTGATCCTTTAACATTTATCAACTGCCTAAACATTCTTACAGACTATCTACACCCCTTCATGTCCCCTTTAATTTGATTGATGATTCCTTCATTTCTTCATAAATTTCATTCAAGACTAGGGTTAAAGATTTCTAACTGTCCTCCAAATTTTCCAGATCTCAACTCAACTGAGCATCTGAAGGATGTCCTGGAAAAAGTCCAATCTATGGGAGCCTTACCTTTACATGCTACTAGTCATATTTAGAGGTTAAACGGTATTACGGAAGTGGTTTTAATGTTGTGTCTGATCAGTGTATGTAGTATATATATAGTATATAACTGAACCTGTCTAATGTTAATCTTTGCAGAGTGAAAATTATTAAATGCATCAGAATTCATGAAAACTTGCATGTTATTACTTTCTTGCTTGTGTTTGCTTTACAAGAGATATCCAATATATGTGCACACACACACACACACACACACACACACACACACACACACACACACACACACACAAATACAGTAGATCCTTTTGAGGATGAACACTCACAGTGTTCCCTTTTCTCTGTGCCGTTTGTGGAAGGATGCCCGTTGTGGGAGGGTTCTATGCCAGCTCTCTTGTTTGAACCCCTACTCAGGGTGGCCCTGCTGGATGATGTCGTGCCACTCCAGGATGCCATATGCTGCCGCTCCAGCGTGGACACACTCACCATGCACTCCTCAGAGGGGTCTGAGGGAGCAGCTGCCCACGAACTGTGCATGTGGGAACCCATGCCGTGCAGGGACTTCATGGCTGGTGTGTGGGCTATTGAGTGGATGGTAGATCAGGGTGTTTGGCAAAGGATACGAATCAGACGTCACGATATGGTCATTCTCATTAAATGTACTAAAAAGACTTAAAATAAATAAAAAGTAATAGCTGGGGGTATTAAAGTCCAGACTCACCGTCTGTGTTAGTGTCTCTTCGTCTGGGAAGAGTTCCAACCTTGTCTGTCTGAGGCTTGTTAGCAGTGAGTGGCGCCCTCTTGTGTCCAAGGCTATGCGAGCCTTGTGTACCATGGTCTGCTGTGCCAAAGCTGTCTGAGAGACACTGCTCAGAGGCCTTACCTATAATGGACCGAAATGAGACAGTTATTGAATATTAAGGTTTGGGTATGAATTCAAAACCAAGTATTTGGAAAACCCATAGAGGATCAGCAGATCTATTAACAAGCCAAACGTGTCAGTTGGAACGATAGCGGAACTCAAAGCTGCGATTGAAATTAACAAATACTAGAAATTTCAAAAACTGTCTGTTCTACATCCTAGCCTATATGTGATGTCGAAACAGAAGGTATGAGAGCATATTGCTACTGAATGCCAGAATCAGAGTACAGAACTGTTTTTCTTTGTTTGAGTGACAATAAAATCAAGCTCTAAAACCAGACAAGCATTTGAAAATAAATAAATAAACTATTTAAAGAAGTACTCCACAAATGCAATATGGCAGCCGCTGTGGAAATACTGCCACCACGAAAAAACCTTATTCATGTTTTGATTCACTGGACTGAAATAATTCCCTCGCTGTGACTGAATGCACTTCTAAAATAGGAAGAACTCTTGACAGCTAAATATGAGTTCATAAAATGTTTGCATTGCTAATGTTGGTAAATATTTTTAGTCACACTGATCTGCATTTTGCCCTGCAATTGGTTAATAAAAGGGCTTAAAAAACACATATTCTCAATTCACATTTCAATCTTAACCTTTCAAACAATGGAGTCTAAAAATGGTACAATCCTGTCCCAGTGGGAGAAGCCATCAAGTTTCTCTTTAAAGAAACATTTTCACACAGTAAACCTATTTATAAATGCATCAAATCTTAAATGCAAGATGTGTTTCTTTTCAGTAGAGCCCTACTAAAGATGTTGAAATATCATATATTATTGCTTTGACATCTATCCACGGAGGACTTCAAGCAGCTTTTAACAGACTGTCTTAATATTTCTTTGAAAAAGAATAAAGAGGTATTAATGGTTAACCCTAAACTATCTGAATATCCTTGAGATGATGAAACTGTTTTACATTTGCCCAAATGTATTGTCTGCATCACATTGCGCGCAAATCGCGGTCCAAACGACCAATCAATGTCCTAAAAGACCAGAACAGTGTACGGGGGGCTTGCATGCATGTGATTAAATGATCCATTTTATGCTTTTGTGTTTGTGTTGCCGACCCATAATTGATTAGCAAGGCTACACACTGCAAAACATTTTCACTTCAAGCTTCAGTGGCCCAACCACATTGGCAGATTGAGTGTTGATATTGAAGAAATCTGCAATGCCTTGGATAGTTAGAAAGCTGATTTTCTTGATTATTCACTGCTGTTTTTACATTATTTACGTGTGATAATTGGATAGTGGATATTGTTAAAAAGACAATATTGGTTGTCACCCACCATAAAAGGCACTTCTTCTTGTTGCGAGTTAAAGAATGTATTTCAGAAACTATCTGACATGAATGCAGTTTCTCAGATTGGCTGAATGTATGAACAAGAAAAGCAGAATTGTCTCCTCTTTGATATCGTCCTTTTCTTAAGTACCCCATTCAAAATCTCTGATAAGAGACAGATTTCCTTTTGTTGCATTTTGACATCTGTATTGTTATATGTTTTAAATCTACACTTTTGTGGTTTTTCAGTAGTGATGACAGCAAAACACATGTTTCCTTTCAGTGAATCATAACTATATCCACATGTCTCCCATTCATATGCAGTCATGGTGAAAAGAAAGCACACCCTCTTTCAATTCTAACTTTTTCCGTATCAGGACATAACAAATAATCATCTGTTCCTTAGCATGTCTTAAAATTATTTAAATACAACCTCATATGAACAACAATGCATGGGATATTAGATAGTGCCATTATTTATTTGACAAAAATTAAGGAAAAATGTTGAAATGATGTGTGAAAGTCTAAATACAGCCTCACTTATAGCCTCAACTAGGTTACTAATCAAATGCATTAACAGCAACTACTTTTAGCAGTTTTAGTCTGGAAAATTCAGGTGTGTGCTAACACGATACCAAGGAGGAAAACCATCCACAGTGATCCTAGAGAAGCAGTTACTGCTGCCAATCAATCTGGAAAGCATTATGAGGCCATTTCCAAACAATCTGAAGTTCATCATTCCACTGTGAGAAAATTATTCATTAGTGAAAAACATTCAAGACAGTTGCTAATTTTCCCAGGAGTGGACTCTGCAGTAAACTCACCTCAAAGAAACTGAAAAAAAGAAAAGAAAAAAAAATCTACATCTCAGATGCTACAGGCCTCAGTCAGTATGTGAAAAGTTAAAGTTTGTGACAGTTTAATTAGAAAAAGACTGAATATGTATGGTTTGTTAGGAAACAGGTTGCCAGGAGAAAGTCTCGTCTCACGAAAAGAACACGGCAGCAAGGTTTAGGTTTGTAAAGTTGGATAATCTGGATAATCTGAAGACTTCCGAGTGGAGATGTTTGGCCATACAGCCCAGCACCACATCTGACAAAAGCCCAAGACAGTATATTACCACCAACACATCATACCAGTTGTCAAGCACAGTAATGGAAGGGGGATAGTTTGGGCTTGTAGTTTGCCATGGGAACCAGGAACCTTGCAATCACTGAGTCGAATATGGACTCATCTGTGTTCCAAAGTATTCTAGAGTCAAATGTGAGGCCATTTGTCCAACAGCTAAAACTTGGTGCTAAAGGTAATTGTATAAGCTACTGAATCATGGCTTAGTTTTTCACACACTGCTTCAGCATTTTGGCTTATTTTTTGCTACATGGTGTAATATGCAATGCATTGTTGTTCATCTCAGGTTGTATTTTTAAAAAAAATGTTTTTTTAGTTATGTCCTCCAACGTAAAATTTGGAAATTGAGAGAGGTTGTACTTTCTTTCTTTTTATCATTATGCTTTTCATCGACTACACTGAAGATGAAAAACTTCTAACTACATTCTCACATGGGAATGATATTATTCTTAAAAGTGGCATGCCTTCAGTGAGAACACATCAAGTGAAAGCTATGAATTAAAAATGGGCTCCATAAATAAGTAATAATCATACCTCAGTTTCACAAATTATCCATATTCCTAATGAAAGTGCTATCAGTGAACTTGGTGTAGGCATATAAAAATATAATTAGAGCATTCATGTTAATATCTGTCATATTTTCAGCACCTATGCATTATTATTTACCCATATTTCCATGTGAGCATGACCTCATAGTGTCAATGACTCAGTGGTCTATTCACTTAAAAATGAAGACAGCAATTAATTTTTAAAACATTTTTACCTGAGCCCTCAAGGTTATCCATGCTGTGACCAGGAGTGTATTCAAAGCCACACAAATTCTTTGACACCACAGCATATCTTTCATCCTCCTCCTCCTCTTCCTCCTCGTCTTCAGAAAGGAGAGTGGTTCCCAAATCAGAACCCAGTGTACTAGACATGAAGTCGATTGGGGAGTTGGACACGTTTGGACTGGTTTTCATATGCCTATTTAAATGTGGGGAAACAGTGTGTATTAATAAAATGTTTTTAAAGCAACAGAAGACAGATAATGGGCGTGAAAAATGCTGCAAAACAAGCATTACAAATTCAGAATCAGTAGATATTCAGGAGGGTGGAGATGCAATGTGCATACACTATGAATGCCTGCAGTGATTTTACTGATTACTTTCTCAGTGCTGGTGTGTGTTGTGCTAACACAATGGAGTTGTAATTGGACTGGATTAAGGATATCTGGATGGGCAGGGCTGTCACCAACATGCCTGTTATCTCCCGCACAGCTGTCCTCCATGATGGCTCGCATCCCACCATAGAGGAGATGCATGCATAATTACTAACTCTATTTACTGATGTCAGAACAGCATGTAAGACTAAACCCAGTCATTACCCTCCATGTCGCCACTGACTTGTCAAGTTTTCCAATGCTCCATCAAAGGTGTAATCAATGGAGAGATGTTTTTATCACTTGCAAGACACACGGGCCGCAGGTCTGAGCTGACACATGTAAATACCAGCATTGAAAGGCGCTCAGACATTTTCCATTGATATGCAAAATCCAAACTTTCACCAGAATAAAATGAATAAAATTACATGCATCTCTCTAACAGAGCAAAGCAAACATAGTTGAATGGATCTGCGTTACCATGCAAAGCTTTCACACTTTCACATTATTACCAAAAACAAGAATATGAAAGGTGGTCTTAAAAAGCCATCTTTGCTTTTCCTTGTTTGGTGTTCTAGCATTTTGGTTGTGAAGCATTTTGTGATGCTTACTGTATATTGAAAAGTGCTATATAAATAAATTTTTATAAAACCTAGCTTTACAAGGGAATCTTACCATGCCTGCTTGGCCACTTCATACTGGTAGGCTCTAGTCAGCTCATCCAAGTGAGCCTGCAAGATGGACTGCATTTCTTCATGGTGGGCAGAGCTGAGAGAGGACGATGAAGGCTGACTAAAAGTAGCTGCTGCTGGGGAGGAGGACCTTCCTCTCAGGGGAGGAGTGGGACCTCTCTCTTCCTCTACTTCATTTTCCAAATTCTGATGGCGGTAGGTCTGGACAGACATTGGTGGTGCCCAGCTTCCGTTGTCATATCTGGCATGTGGACAAAATGTTTTCATGTTAATCACCACATTGACTTTCCTAAATAACTGATTAGAGATGTATGCCAAAGACAGAAAATACCTGTAAATATTCCACTAACAAAAGTGTTCTCAACACTTTTAAATGATCAGAAAATAGCAGCCACAATATGTTTAGGCTTTACAATGCAAGTGTGACTGTGCAATTCAGGATGGCAAAATGTGGTCCTGAAGACATCTGCTCTAGAAGATTTACCACACAGAGAGTAGCACTTTAGCCACCATTCAGAAAAATCAGAATCTGTCATATCTCATCATCATATCATATTATCCCAAAAGAGCACTTTGCTCTCTAAGTGCAGGCTTACTTGTGGTTCCTAGAGCTTCCAACAATACAGTGGGGGAGACAGAGCCTTCAGCTGTGAGGCTCCGCCCCCGTTAAACCAGCTCCCTGTTTGGATTTATCATAATCCAAAGACAAGCACCTAATATGGATATCTTTGGTGTGAACCCACATAGGCACAGAAAGATCCCCAGCTAGTGGTTGGGTTCAAACACACCCAGTGGTTTTACAACTGTAGAAATGGTGCTAGATAAATAACAAAAAAAAAGGAATTCACTCCAAGAACTTTTTAATTTTGTTGAGTTAAATTATAATGTTTTGTTTATATGTTAATTAGCACTTATTAGCAGCTATGTTAAGGATATAGCTTGCTAACTAAGCTCACACTGTTAGCGCTTCATCATGTGGTTTAAATATAGTCACTTCTAACTCGAAAAAACATGGCATAGACAAAAAACAAACAAAAAGGCTTCACATTGCAGAGTTCAGAAATTAGTGTGGGGCAGCATGGCGACCACATCCATTTTTCATAACAAAGACTTTAGCTTAGTCTTAGCCAAAAGGGCTAAATGTAGGCCAGCAGTCACTCAGCTAACTAGGGTACTAGCGTTTAACAGGCTAATACAGCTAATTCTTTTTTCTTTCACAAGGTAAATTAAACAGGCAGCTTATATCCAAATTCTGATAATAACACAAAGCCACCCATGCATACACTCTGCTTGGGCCCCAAGTGCAGGCTCTGTGTTTGCATGTGTTTCTTTTCTGTTTTTATGTATTTTAGTACAGAGACTGATGACATATGAATGTACATTACCCTCCTCCATGATTTTCCTGGGGGTAACAGTCAAGGTCAACCTCAGTCCCAGGCAGGGGGTTCATGGGTGGCGGTGGCAGAGGCATGTTAGCCCAACATGTCCCATTTGATTTAGAGGTTTTTGTTCCACTTTTTAGCTTCTTTTTCTTCCCAGCCTTTGCACCTGGGGGTAGGCAAAGAGAGGTTTAGCTTCCTCTATACAAAATACGCAAGAGTATTATTCTACTCTCAGTCCACACACATTCGGTTTTGCTTGGAAAAAGGTACCTTCTATTTTTCTCTGCTGCTTCTCTCTGTGAACTTTTACCCAACCTGTCTTCTACCCAGTTTTCATTATTCGTCTCTCCTGTGTGCTGACAGCACATTACAACATTTTCTAAATGTTGACATTTCTTAAATAGGCATCAAAACCTGCGGCAAACCACTTTAAGTTGCTTCTCCACTTGTTCTCTTTATCTGTGGTTAGCTTGACATTTAACTGAGCACACGGCCTATAAGAAAACACAGAAAAGCCTCCACGACTTTACTAAATGTATAGAAGCTACATAAATAGCTCCAAACACTGAGGGATTTTCTTCTTCCATCTAATCAAATTAACCCAAAAGAAATGTGTCATGATTGCGTGACATTTCTAGGCAAGATAAGCTCCCAGGGTAGAATTGTGATGAAGACAGAAGAGTAATTAAGGACATTATCCTAAGGGTTTATTTTTAGTGAATATGTAAACAAATTCTCTCCTTCCTAGTTTGGTCTTTCCTTGGTTTAGCTCCCAGTAATTTAAATGATAGGGAAAAAAGTGCTTGTGATTTTGCTGCAAAGATGCTACACTTAGTTCACAGAGACCCAAGGAGTTTATCATAAAATGAAAAAAACCCAAAACAAAACCAAAAACAATCAAATAAACAAAGATCTTGATCATTTCATCGTGGCTCATACCACTGCCAGGGCGTCTGTCAGTTAGCGAGTAGCCCAGGTTTGCTATTTCCTGCTGGGCTTGAAGAGAAGCCTTCCAGCGGGGATCTGGCCTATCCACCGCCAGCTCGTGGAAACTATTGGACTGAAGTATTTGAGTGGTGGCATAGGGGGTGGGCTGAGTGCCTCGTGCTGGGCTGCTGTAGCCTGCCTTCCCCATGAAGTCGATACTGCTGTAGATGGCACCATCAGACAGCATGGTACCAGTTTTCTCCACCGCTGCAGACGGTAAAACATCTGAGGCAAAAAAGAGGATGAACACAGAGAGGGGAGGGAAATGGAAAAGGCATCATGGAGAGATAAGTTGACATGAAGTTAACGATCTTTAAGGTCATTAACACTCCCTGCTGCTCCAGCACTCTGTATTAGTTAAATACATTTCTCAAATGGACTTGATATAAATGAAAGTGATTATCAACAACCATAATTAGCATGCAATGCTCTGTGGGAGCCGGGTGGAGTGCTCACAAGAGGGATGCTCAAACAGTGCTAACCTTCAGCTCAACAGTCTTGCACGAATAAAGCCTGAAGCTCACCAGGGTTCCATTGAACTTTGAGAACATGTAGGCATACAAACACATAATGGAAACCAATATACTTCAACCACTGTGCGCAACCTCGAAAAACGGACAATGGCAGAGCATGACAAAGAATGATGGGGAAAACAATATCTAAACAGTGCAAATTTAAGCCAGATATCAGGCTTGTCACATCAAATTAGTAAAACAGAGCCCTTGAAGGCTGTTTTAATTTGTGTGTGTGTGTTAACCTATTTGTGTATATGTGCTTAAGTGTGACATCCTGTCAGCATGCTTCCCAAGGGATCAACATCAAAACTGTCCAACTAGGCATCGCTAAACCGTATTCTTCATCGCTCCGGCTTGTTTATGTTTCTTACCTCCTCGGCCAAAGTTGCTGCCGCCTTTTGGACTCCCTAAGCCCCCGTTAGCTGGGAGACTTGTGGAAGGCCAGGAGTCAGCTAACCAGGGGAGGCCTGGATCACCTGCTTTTAACAACCCTGGACGGCTGTGAGAGAATGTTTAAAGTCAGACAAAGGTGGATGAGAGGTGGAAAGGACACCAGAGAACCAGTGACATTGTTAAATATTCAGCCTGCCCTGCTTATTTTCTTCCTGCTGCATCAACAACAAATTGATGCGAAAACTCATTCAGCATATTCTCGCCCGTGGAGCAGCCGAGCACGCAGGCAACAATAAACAACAGAGAGACATAAAATGGCAAGTCTATAAATCAGACTTCTGCCTCCCCTCGACTCTACCACCCCTAACTCTCCCTGGAGAAGCAAGGCAGGCCTAAATACACACTAAATCCACTTTAGAGCCTTAGCACAACAGAAATTTACATTTTAAATTGAGAATCATGGACAGCCTCTGGCAGATCAGCTACACTGCTGCTCAGTCTCCATAGCAACAGAGACAGCAAAAGCCCATTAGGTGGTTTAGGAACGCTACCATGTCATTTTGTCTTTGTGAAGTACAACGTCCACGAATAAAGGCGTTCGCTTCAAGGTAGGAAAGTTGTGGGCAGCAATTCAGGGAGGAACAAAAAATAGAAAAAGACAATTTACACCCCCTCTATATCAGCTGCTGTAAAAATGGCAAAACATTCACATGCCTGCACATTAAGTAAACATACCGTGTGTCTGCATATGTTTACTTAATGTGCAGCTTTACAGTGAGTTTTCCACTGAGCCTGATTTACCAAGTGCCAGGGGAGTTGTTCACAGCTGACTTGGTGATGGCTCAAAGGTGTTCAAACAATTACGTCAATAATTTCCATTTTAAACTACACAAGCATAATACATATATTTACATATATTTCCTTGGAAGAACAGGGCAAAGCTATGCACAGTAGCGCAAGCAGTCTGTGCACCTTCAGTGTGGAGAAAGGCACTCATGCAAAAGGGTTTTACAAGAAAGCGTTTATTTTTAGTCTATTACTTGCAACATTTGTTCTGGCTTTGGGCTTATCTGCTTGCTTAGGTGTAACAAATATGTAGAGCAAACCACTGTCCACAGAGCAAATTCACCTCTTTCCCCCTGTTGTTTTCAGGAATACTTTGATATTCTGTGGACACGCTGTCTTTGCTTTGGGCATTTTGAGCAGTCTGGAAATTCTATCGGCCACTGAGAGGAGTCTCAAGGTCCGACGCATTGTTCTTCTGTCTCCACATAAAACCCATGACTCTACTTACTCTAGGCCAAGCTTTTTAAACAGCACATTCATCACCTCTCCCCTCCTTTATTGACCTCTGGCTCACTCAGATGAACTGAGAAGCGCGCCGGTGACTAAAACACCTGCATTAATTGGTAGCTCTCAGTTCAAAGGAGTGATTAATGATTTCATCACAGTGAACAACAGTGGAAATCGTGCACTGATACAATATGAATAGGCGGGGGTGGGTGAAGGGGGGCATAAATGCAAATTCCATTCATCAGGAGAGAACTCTTCATATTAAGTTTTACGATAGCATGGTGTCATTAAAAAGTTCACCGTGTGACACCGAAATGTCAGCTTGGAAGCTTTAGCAGTAGGGTTTCTGAAGGTTTTTAGTGGAGAAATTCTCACCTTCCATTGCGAATCAGGCCTCTGTCTCTTTGGAATGTCACTTGGAGGGAAAAGAGGGAGGAGAGAGAAACAATTAAACTGTCAAGTAATCAACAGCATGACTGTAGATTTGAATGGTTGATACATTACTGCTGTCAAGAATGAAGGCACCTAAATTGCCGGGATATTGTATATACAATGGCACAATGTAAAGACATACCTGCTCGAGTGAAGGTGAAGGACTGAACTGCAATTTAAAGAGACATAAAGAGTGTGCGTATCAGAGGGCATATCAAGTGGCATAAAGAGTGCTTAGAAATATTAAAATGATTCAAAATGCTCTCGTGTTCAAAAGATATGGATTGTGTGCTTTCATTTTTGCTTTGTTTGTTCATCCATCACTGATATGTCAGCACTGTGATCATATTTTGATGAAGCTTGGGCAATAACGCAGCTAACATTCCAGCATTTTCTGATTTACACTGACTGCCCTGAGGGAGAAGTTTAAATGAAGGTGACATTTTTAACCTTTTTTATTTTTTATTTTTGCTCGCCTCAGGTGATCTGCACTCTCATCATAATTCAATTTTTTTATGAAATCCTTCCAAAATACATCTTGAAACAATACGTGTGCAACAAGAAAGACAATTACTGATGCAATAGCATTTTTAAACTACTGCTATAAATTATTTAAAAATGAAGAAATCAATGAATTTTTTAAGTCAATGGCTCTTATAGAAAGAAAAAAAAAAAGAATCCATTGTTTTCCAAATGGAAATATGAAATTTTGGACTTAAACTCCTGCAGTTTTTGAATAAAGGGATCAGAAAACCAGCCCTCAATCACATAAATCCCTGCTGAATTAGGAAATCGCACTGCTCTCTCCCCAAGTCACTAAATAAAAGCTGCAATACGCATTATGAAATTTGCACACAGCTTCATGCTCGACTCGCAGTGGAATAAAAGAATATTCCATACATAAACCTAGATGTACCTCATGTTAATGTGCAAACAACACCAGGCATGGTCTGATAATGGAAGGGGATGTTAAATTACTTATCTCGCATGAATGTATTAGAGTGTTGAGGTGTGCTGCTGATGGAACGCAGCACAGTCGATGCACATCAGTGCACAGTGAATTAAAGTAAATAGGGCCTATTTCCATCCGCGCTGAATACATTTTCTTTGTTCTGCGTTTCAGCCAGCTCAAATGGAGTCACATCTGTGATGGCATCAGCTTCCGCTGGAGAGAGACCTACTTTGCTTTGTGAGCCAGTTTTGATGCAGAACCATGTAAATTGATTTTTTTTTTTTTACCTGCATAGTTGCTAAGTCCTTTCCTCTTTTTTCTCCTCCAGTACAACCAGGCACTGAAGCCCATGAGGACAATCCAGCAAGCCCCTCCCAAAGCAGCGATGAAGGCCGGCTGCTTCACCACATCTGAGATGCTGTTGTTGCTGTCCGATCCTGTCATTACGTCCCTCAGTTCTGCACCTGGAGGCACCACACACCCACACAGGGAGAAAAGGGAAAGAATTTAGAATTTTAATTTCAGTATGAGTGACTGAATGGAATTAAAAAAAATATTGCGCAGGAAAAAATGCAGTTCAGAGAAATTAAATTGCAACAAAATTTTATTCAATATCATCACAATGTTTGACATAGAGATAAATAAATATGGTGAAAATGTACAAGTTTAAGCAAATCAAAGAAGTGTGGAACACATTATGTATCAAACCAGGACACATGGACTACAGAGACCACCGAAAGATGAGCCCGTGAAAAAATACAAACACAAAGAGATAAAAAAAAAACAGCATCAGTGCATCCAATATAGCGTTAATCAATTCAGCAGTGCACTTATCAACTTGAGCTGCAAGACACAAGATTGACAGAGCAGCTCTGACAGAGTTTGATTTTCTGTTGCGGCTACTGTGCTGTGAAATTAGATTCACAGTCTCCAGCAGGAACCACCCCCCCATCATTAAGCTTCATTCCACAGGCCTGTTTCCCTTTCTCTGGGCGTTAGGGGTGTTATTATATATCAGTCAAAAGTCACAGATGAAGAGCATCTGGCCTGAGCTCCCATATTGATTCTGGGCTTATATACGCTGGGCATCCTTTAGTGATTTCATAAGATGTGATAGGCTGATAAGCTCCTACAAAAACACTGTCTACTTTGTTAGCGCCAGCTGCACACATATTGGAGAGGATTATTGATATGGCTAACAGTACTTGGCACAGTGTTACCAGGCACTACACTTAATGAACTGCTATTGATTTCTCTATAGACATCTGGCGTTGTAAAGCGCAATTTTCTTTCTTCAAGTGCGATAAATTGATAAATCATTTTCCCAGACCCCCAATCTGTGATAGAGACCTAGGTCTCCTATCTTGGGGTCATTTTATTTGACTCAAGGTTTGGCGTGTGTGTGTGTGTTTGTGAGAGAGAGAGAGAGTGGATTACCCAAAGTGATGAGCTGGGGTATGCTCTTGACCCCCACCCCTGCGCTGGTGCCTGCAGCCACCTCTACACGGTACTGCACTCCAGTCTGCAGACCCCCAACTACCACTGAACGGATGGTCGCGTCCACAGACTTATTGACATGAAAGCGAGTTTCGTTGGCCAAACACCAGATCTGACAAAGACAGACACACCAGACAGATTTCATTGTGTGGTTGTACATCACTAAATCACTAAACTATTCAGTCTGGAGAAGCCTGGGCTCACCTTGTACTCTTGTATGATGCCATTCTGTTGGTCAGAAGGAGGAGGGTCCCAGGATACACTGATGGATGTGCTGTTGTGGTTTCCCACTGTCAGCACTGTCACTTGCTGTGGAGGTGCACTTGGTGCTGATGGGTCACACCGGGAAGGGGGGGGGGGGGGTGGTAAAAAGATTAAAGAAAGAAAAGGTAAAAAAGAAAGAAAGAATGAAATCACTACACATAGTTTATTCTGAAAAACGAGTGTGTCTTGTTTTATTTATTTCTTTTTTCATATGTCAAAGAGGGATTTGTCTCACTCGCTACCTCAATTCATATTAATTCAGCAAGCCAAACAACATGGGTTTTTCTATTTCCTAAGCCAGCCTGGCAGATGGCTGCTGGGAGTACTTCATCTCAGTTTCTTATCTTAATAGTGAGATTCTTATTGTGTTGCTGAACCCAGTAAGTAAATCACTTTCATCATGTCCTACGCGCACTACACCATATTGGCCACATGCAAATGCTTCCAGTGTAGATGCACTCAATTTAGCATGTCTGTTTGAATAAAATTGGTCAGTACCCATGTCTGATAATAAGTTTGAGGTGATTTCTTGGTGTGTATGTGGAGACTAAGGGCATAAAAAACAAACTTTAATAGTTCTTTTTTAAAATTAGAGATTGTGGCACCCTCCATAGATAGATGTAAAATTTAAAGAAACAATAGGCAGCAGGAGGCAAAAAGATCATATCTATGGAACTGTGCAATTCAGGCAATCCCTGGGCACATAGTCTCTCTCGATTCCTAATAAAATCATCATTACGTTCTGACTGAATGGATGAAACAGCTAGTTTGAGCCCAATTAAGGAGGCTTAAAATAACAATACTAATCACAGTGTTTCAATATATGGAAGGCACTGTCTTACTGTACTGAGAAATAAAGGCAGGTGGGCCATTGTGGAAATGGGCGTTGTGAGTCAAATTCTCAAAATGGACATGGTGTCTGTACTCTCAAAGTCAAAAGCACCAAGCCATGTATTAGCGCATATGAACTAATGACACAACAGCATATTAGAAGTGTATGACAGAGCATTTGTGCAAGATTTGATCCTGACCTCTGCCAGTTATTTGACATCTGCAAAGCTCAACATCAGCCTCAGGTAATTTACATAGCAAAAAGATGACAAAACAATAGATTTCTTTTGTTGCCAGATGAAACAAATCTCCCTGTATAATGTAGCTTGTGCTTAAAAGAGCGGCTATGAACAGATATGGCTGTGTCTGCAAAGTACTTGACAGGCTGGCAGGACAAAGGAATTAAATCAGCCATAGGAGATGCGGTTTATTTTTATTACATTTAACAAATTAACTGAGCTCAGTTTGAGGATATCTATATTCAGACATTTAGGCAGTATTGACTTTCCAAAGCAATTACCGTTAAACAGACTCACACAAATTACTGTCCCAGTATTGAGATGACTATTGTTCAGAAGGAAGGAAAAAATACACACGCAATGAAGGAAGAGTCAAATATAAAATACAGGATATTATATTATACCATATCATCCTGCCACAAATCTTTACTCCTTTCATTCAAGTAAACATTTACAAGTAATTCCAATTTGATTACAGGTGAAGGAATTCAACTTTCTAAGTCATCAACAGTCTGAACAAAGAAGGCTCCTAATATTCATCTTCGGGCTCATAATATTTGAGGCAATCCTTTTGTCTCTGAAGACAAAAATCTAATCATAATAACTAATCTGATGGAGCAAAAAACAAACAAACAAAGCATTCCATAAAACACAGACCTCTACAACTGTTTGAGGATTTTTGGGGGGCTTTCAAAACCTCAGCCAGGAACAGTTTATTTGTCAGTTTTGTTTGTTTATCTTTTCAGTTTTGATTTTCTGAAAAAAGGAAAATACACATATACAGATAAAATCAGAAGGTATGCTATATGTCAGAAAGTACACAGAATAATGGGCATGTATACGGTTCCACATTCTTTTAAATAAATGAAATGATCATAATTTCTGATTATACCACGTTTAACATTTTATTTCAAAAGTATTCATTCCTTTTGTCATTGCATGTTATTCTGGAAATACTACCACTGTCTGTATATTTTATAATAATGCTGCTTCATACACTTTCCACAAGGCACCTAGTAAGCTTAGAGAAAGCTTAGAGCAGTAGTAGAGTGACCAATAAAAAAAACTGCAGGAGGGCAGTGACCACTAAATGCCTTCAGTGCTCCAAGTAGGGTAATATCAGGTCACAATTATCCAAGTAACTTTCAGCTTTCCAGATGTCATTTCAGAGGAGCTCTTTTAGCAAACAGTGCCTTTCCAGTCAGTCAAAGGTCTGCATTAGGAGAAGACAGGAACCATTAAGTGTAGTTCTACAATTTCCATATGTACCACAACAATCCCCCTGGATGAATAATAGCTAGAATACCAGTAATGACTCGGGATAATATTACTATAAATGGCTGCAAAACCAAGAAAAGGTCAAAGATTATGTTCTTACTAATGTGACTAATACTTATATTAGGACTGATGTGAACTGTAGCTAGAGAGTAATTTCAAGCAATTAATGCTTCCAATGTCTAAGTAAACATTTCAGGGTTTTTTTTACCCACAGCTGTGCAATTAAACAAAAGCTACTAAAGCTGCTTAATGTTCTGCTATGCAGGATATGAAGTAGTAAACATAACCTGTTATGCAAATGGATGCATAATTTAAGCTAATTAATTCATGAACTGGTGAACATTACTCTACAACACATCTGCCCCCGCCCCCAAAAAACAAAAACAAAAAAACAGTAATAAACTCTATCTAGCAAGAAAAGGGAGCTCTGTTTCATATGAGAATTTCAGCTTTTAGCCTCACTAATGTCCATATGAGACCAGGTCAGATCAGAGGTTCTCATTTTAACAACTATACAAGCATAGAACCTTGACTCATGGGTTCATTTGACTTGCTGTGAATACTGGCTGAAAGCCTACACTCCTCTTTAAACTCACTGAAAGGTTGTGAGGTGCATTAGTATACAAATTCTCCCTTGTGCAGTAGGGAACTTCATTTCCAATCTACCTTTGATGGATAACAAGTGATTTTCTTGCAATTTTTGCAAGAATTGCATTTCTGTGCAGTAGAGAATAGGTTGAGCAAGGCAATTTTTTTCCCCTGTACCACAATGCCTTGTTTCTAGGTATCCCTGAGCAGACCATATGCCCCCATCTGCAAAGACCTCTGTGATCCTGTGTGGCCGTTTTAATTGGGCTCCAGTGAGGTGAATCTCTCTTTTTTCCACCAGCTTTATCCCCTAGACTAAGCTAGCCCTGTTCTCCTACTGGGGGGAAGATGCAGCCCTGTGATCCACTCATCATCAAACACAGATGCTTTGGGCTAATATTTTCTCTGACATTAATGGCCTTGTCATGACTTGTTTTTCAGCACAAGCCAAGTTCCACACCGTTCAAATGATGCAACACCTGAATGATAAGTAAGTAAGTGAAGATATTGTCTTGTTCACCCACAGGCAACATATGTAGCCGCTGTAAATGAATGATGATACAGTGCATTCACTTTTTTTACTCTTGAAGTCCAAAATGCAGTCTCACCTTCAGGGGAATTGATTAAATTTGAAAACAGTGTTAACCTTAATGCCATAGCCTGTATCACCCGATCATGTTTGCTCAGTTGTTATAGAGATCTTTTGCAAAGAGAGGACAGTAACTCTCATTGCTTTTAGCACATTTTCAGATGAGCCGGTAACGGCTTGCAATTTCGGTGAAAAGAAAAGCTAGTGAGTGGATGTTTAGTTGGGATTGTCACACAACCATATTCAAGGTTAAAGTGGATTTTCACATCAGGGGCTTTAAATAATAAATATTGGGTGATTTGACTGGAAGGTATAGAGAAAGTTAATGAGAATCAATGAGAGCATGAATCCTTTAACCTGAATGAGTAGCACTGATTCAGTGACTCCACCTGTAAGATTCATATGCATAATTGAAATTTTGTAGTTCTTTCAAAGTTGTATCCTTAGTCAGCACTCCACCTGCCTAAGATCTTTCACTCCACAGCTGAGTTGGTGCATCTTAAAGCAAGTGTTTTTGACACCACAGCTGAGATAGTTTCCACCAAATGTTCAAATGCTCCTTAGAATTTTTATAGTTAAGCTCTGTACTGACAGGTTGAATCCAGGGGTGAAGAGCCCATTCAATGAGAAAACACAACGAGAGTGATGCAGCAAATGAAGTCGCAGCCATGACCTGATTCTCTACCTTTGGACTTTGTGCACTGTGGTCTCTTTCACTTCAATCTGCTTTTTCATCTCCGATCACAGAAAACCCAACATAAAAGTTGGGGTTCATCTCTTGTGATGTTTGCATTGGCAGCATTAAATAATTTCTATTATAGCATTAGCATGCAAAGATAATTCTTATCATTTCCTGTTTGCAAAGAATTGAGAATGAATAGAGAAGTCTGATATTAATAACATTTCAAATAGCCGATGAATAACACGAGGAGAAAGACGAAACCAGGAAGTGTAATTACACAAAGAGCTCATTGGTGTGTGAGTGTAAGTGAGGTGGGAGGTCATATCGTGTACATTTAGACAGAGACATGGCAGCAGGCACTGACGAGGTGAGAGAGAGTTGAGCTTTACTGCTCGCCCTCTTTGCCCACCAACCCACAGAGGCTCGGGGTTGTCATAGAGCCCTACTGCGCTGTCTGGGAGACCTGCTTTCACACACAGGGGACATAGCACTGCAGCAGTGTGCGTATGTGGGAGGGTGTACTTGAAATGCCATTATCCATTCCTATCTAGCCAAGAAGCCATTAGTAGGAGCAACTAAATATGAAAGTAGGTAGAAACATTTACACAAGAGCTCCTGCTCATGCATTAGTAACTATATCTTACTTCTTTCGAACATTAAGTCAGCAGAGAAATTAATTTTTATCAGAAATGCGAATTAATTTGTGGCTCACCTTCTTCCATGGTGCGTGCTGTCATGGATTCACTGTCGGCGCCCTGAAATTCATTGAAATACGGCCGCACTTTAATCTCATATACAATGCCTTTCTTCAGACCAGAGAGAGTTATGTCCCTCTCTGAGGCAACCTTCAAGTCCTGTATCTGCCACGGCCCTGGGGAGGGCAGCCCTGAAGTTTGCCGGTACAAAACACGGTAGCCTTGGATAAACTTGGATGGATTCTCCACCTGAAAAGAGAGCAGAAGGAGAAAGAGAGAGACACGCTGCATTGTAATTGTGCGGAAGGTGTCATAAAAACTGCTATGACTCAACATCCGCTTATTTAATCACACAGTTCAATTAGCAGAAGAGAAGCAAGAAACCGTACAAAGACAGTAGTAGTGCATTTGCCATATCTGCACAGAATATGTTTTTCCTCTTGTTTTTTATTTTATTTTCCCAGGTTCTTTTCAGGACAGGTACTTCTTGACAGGGGGAGAAGCAAGAAAAAGCTTTTACAAGGAAAATAACACACTGGATTATCACCAAAACAGTACAAAAGTGGCTCTTTTCTGGCTTATTTCTTTTCTTTCGCTGTCTCTCTGTTGTCTCAGCTTGTATGTTCTTAACAAAATGATTTGTGCATCTAAATGTCCCATAAACCATCTCTTTTTCCTTTTTTGCCTATGTTTAAAAAAGGAATTACTGTTATTGGGAGTGTGAATAAAAAATAAACACAAATTCCTATTTTCTTCAAAAGATAGAAAAAAGTAATACAATTGATCCAAATTTGTGGAAGTTTGTGCACGCCGGTTCTTACGTTCTCAAATCTCATTACTACCAAAACCCTTATCTTTACAGAAATGTGATTTTTCATAAGGCAGGAAAAATTTGCTTTGTGATTTTTGATGTCTTAGTGGAACTGTTTCTAGTAAATGTAATGTAAATGTAAATGTCTGATGTAATGTCTGATGTAATCCTGCACAAGCTGTGCATATAGGCCAGAAATGTGGAGATCCAAGTTTAACAAGAAGTATGCAATGAAGTTCTCATCTACCACACAGACAAAGGTGACTGACAACTTTATGTTCTGAGCAACAAAGTACTGAAATTAAAGTTGAGTAAAATCCAAAAAACAAAATGGGAAATGCTGTTTTTCCCAAATAACATGCAAAATACAACAATTAAGAAAGATTCTGCTGCAACTGTTTAATACATAAAGTTTGGGTACTGAAAAAACTTCTGTTAAATGGAGCCAGGTCAAATAACCCCTGTGAACCTATTCAGATCCACCACAAACACAGTTGTCTCAGTCTAAAAGCTGTGTGACAGTACACGGTTGTCATGCTGACAAGCATGAAATAGCAGACTGCAGTAAATGTATCCAAGGTGTGTTATTAACCTACAGCAGCAGGCACTGGGACACCTTGCCAACAGACAGAAATAACATTTCCCAGATAAAGCACTGCAAACTGCTTCCAGAAGTGACACATGTAGTGCCTAATGGTGATGTATTTGTCCTGAATAGAAACATTAGTCTTGATTCCTGCATCGCTTCACACCAATCAAAATTGATGCAGCAGCAGCTGTTCATTCTACAAATGTGTATCCATCCCCTCATATTTATTCTGTGTGTGTGCCAGCTAATCCAAAACAAAGTGACGTGCCAGGTATAAAGTTCTCAAACAAGCTTAGACCAGATTTGTTTTTCTTATATTGCTCCAAAGGTAACAGTCGGTACTTCGGCTATACTTTTACAAATCTTTTAAGGGTTGTGGATACTCACAGTCCAGGTGACCTGCACTGAAGTGGAGCTGAGGACAACAGGATTGTGCATGTTGACTACAACATCCCCCAACTCTTTCTGCACACGACGGTGGTCCACTCCCTGTGCTGTAGGACTAATGTCTGTGACAGAGAAAAAAACCCAAAACACAAGCAATGTAAGTGGGAACAGGAATTCTTATCGCTAAAAATTTATTAGAATCCATTCTCATTTCTGTACCTTGAGTGCGAACGGGCTCAGACATTGGGCTCGGATCCCCGAGCCCTTGAGCATTGACTGCCCTGATGATGAACAAGTAGACGGTATTGGGTCGTAGATCTTTGACTGTGAACTCTGTGGTTTTCACATGATCTGCCACGGTCTGCCAGCTGTTACTCACTGACTGACTGTAAAAAGAATAAATTAAATAAGCAGTGAACAACTTCAAATGTAAGAAATCCAGACAATTCATTTGAGATAACTAGATGTACTGCTGAGAGTGGGAACTCAAATGATGTGCCACATAGTAATGAAATGCCAGAATAACTATTGAAAGGCTTTGAAAAACATTTTGTTTGGTGAAAGAATAGTCAGTCCAACAAACACAAGACACACACACATACACACAAAAAGTGTGCTAATCATATTCTGCTTAAAAACAACCAATAAAGTTATTATTTACATTTAAATACAAGCTACTTTGTACTCCTATATATATATATATATATATATATATATAAATAAAAGAGCTACTCATGAATGTTCTCCTTCAAACTGCCCAGGCTTGCTTGACTGCCCACAGAAACACCCACATCTGTTACTGCCATGAAAGTTCGGGGTCACTAAATGTTGCTCGAGGCCATAGGTCGCAGACATACCCAAAAGCCTCAATGACATAGGAGGACACTGGGGAGCCCCCCTCTGGTCCCGGTTTCCATGACAACGAGATACTGCTCTTGGTAACATTAGTAACCTCGGGTTTGGAGGGAGGCCCTGGGAGGGCGGTCGAATTGTGAGATATGAAGTCAACGAGGTCAGTAGCGTCTAAGGAAACAAGACAGACACAATTGAAGCAAAAAACCCACACAAAAACAAAACAAATGCAAGCCATGTTATAAGTGATATGCATAAAACATGTGAATCATTTCTACTGAAGCAGACCTCTGACATCCAAGTAGGCACTCCACGATGTTTCTCCACTGGAGCTGGTAGCAACGCAGGTATACAGCCCTGAGTCAGACAGCTAAGAAAAACACAATTTAAATTTCAAGTTAATTCAAGCTCCCATTTCATCTGAACTCTACAAGAACTGGGCAGATTTCAAAACTGCAACAGAAACCAAATTCTTTTGGGGTTTTTTCACTAAAAAACAGTAACTAATGATAAAAAATAATAATAATGATTGCAGACACTGTGTCTATTAAACTAACAAACATTTTCTGCTCATCTGCATCATAATACAGCTTTTCGAGTGTACTCTGTTGCTTTGTACAGCTGAATCCAACTCTGATCCCAGATGGTTTCCAGAAGCTCTTACGTCACTCTGGGCTTTGCACCTACTAGTACAGTAAAAATGCATTAACCTCCACTGGCCTGCATTTGGCTCGAGAAAAGCCGGAGAGTGGATGAGAGGGAACTTTAATGCTGGCCAATGAAAAAAAAAAAAAAGAGAGATCCCAGTGAAAGCTTACATTAATTTTCTTAATTGATTTGCTCCAGTAATGGTCACCCGCCATTCCAAAAGCCATCGACATTATCATCACTAGTGCTGACACAGGAAATAGTAGATATGACAACCAATTTCATATTGGCAATGCTTTAGGAGAGACTGACAACTATGTTATCTCTCGAGAGAAAGTACACGAGTGACACAGGAGGAGCACTTTGACATTGTGACAGTACAGCATATATTGGAGATTCTCCATTTTATTACCCCCTTCACACTTCTGAATTCAGACTATATAAAAGACTTCAAAAACTAACAAAAATCTATACTCACTATTCATCATTTAACAGCAACCTGACTGTACCTGTTCATCTGTAATGCATTAAAGCTGACATCATTTATCAGGTACGTAGATTCCTCTTTATTCTTTCACACGCAATGCAGGGTGTGAAAGCTACACATGCAAAAACAAACAAAAGCCCCATAGACTAAATATGTTGTTTTGCTTTCATGTGTTTATGAACTGCATTCACATTCACTTCAATGTCCTTCTCACCAAAAGAGAAAGATTTCACTGCAAAATATACGAATAATTTGCAGGTCAGAGGAATGTGAAATATGTGCAGTGGGAATAATTGAAGGCACAATAATCAACAGGAGATTCAACTGATATCCTGCTGAGAAGATAACAAGGGCATTTTAATTTTGGTGGTAAAACACTGTCTCCAAGATTAATTAACTGTCCTTTATTTTGATTAATTAGTCCTGAGGACCTGATTGAACTATTGCAAAGGACACTTCAATTCCGTCTGCCACATCTGGCATGAGGAAATATAAAGGTCGTACGTAATGCTAACTGGCAGAATGTTTGCTACAATTGTGGTTTATCATTTCATATATTTGGTAATTTGTTTATCTCTTTTTAAAAAATTAATTAGACTAAACCAAGTGAACAACTAAAACCTAGGAAAACAGCTGACTGGCAACAAAGATGGATTGAATGCCAGGAGCCCAGCCGGCACTTAAAAAACAAAAAAGAAAAAAGAAACACTACTCTATATGCTTTAAACATCTACAGACTGAGCAGAAAAGTTAGATGTAACTGGAAAGTGATGTCAGTGAAGAGTCTCCTAAAACTCAATTCTTTCTAATGACAGGCATGGAGAAACGTAATTTGTTAGAAACAAGATTAATTATCTAGAAGTCTAGAAAAAGAAAAAATACAACTTTTCACTCAGCAAGTATGTCTTATTTCTGAATCACAAATTTCATTTAGAGTTAAACGAACACTTAAGTTGAGCATGATTCACCACTATTTTGTGGCAGATCAGTTGCTACTCCAATAATATAAGAGAAAATGCCTTTAAAATAAGAGTCCAGAAACCAGTGGGAAACTCAGCGGTGATCTATGGTTAACCCATCAACTTCTTCCAACTGGACTTCAATCATTTTTTAAAGCAAAGTTATGGGGAAAACAATTAAAATAGCAATTAGAGCTATTCTTTGGTGGTTAGTAGGCCACTGTCCCCAGAAGAAACTACAGCACATATTACAGATACAAGGTATCGCTCGCTACTTCAACATAACCCACCCTGGTACTCTGGATCTGAAGGCTGCCATGTTCCAGAAGGGAAAACCTTGTTTCCTTTCCAAGCAGGTTGGCTCCATTCTTCTGCCAAGTGATTGTAGGCTCTGGGTCCCCAGACGCCTGACACCTGAGTAGGGACATGCCTCCCAAAGCCTGAGTTTGGTTGGATGGGCCCTGCCGGATGATCGGTGGTGGGCGGTCCTTCAGGGCTGAGTATAACAATCAAGAATCCGGTGTTATTATTTGAATGCTTTCCTAACATTGTAATTAGAATGTCATAGTCTTGGCAAGAAACATGCAACTGTTTTCTTGGAGTTATCAGATTTGTGGGAAAAAATACATGACCTTATCACAAGGTGTTAATTTGTGATTGCAATAATTATATTTGTGGTTGCATGCCCGAGATGTTAGGGTTCAATCTGGTGGATTTGTTGTGAGAGGAACTGACTGTTTTGTGAGGCTTTTCCACAGTAGGGCGGAGTGTTCATGGCACTGCATCACACCTTTGAGTTTTAATTACTAGGTGAGGATTAACGATGCTTCACCCGTGGTGCTAATTACCATACCTTCTTTATAACACCTTTCAGCACATTCATGCCTGTCCTCTCTCTTTCCACTGTGACTCATGGCTCTATCTCCACCCTTTTGGCAAGTCCCCCACAAACACACATGAACCAAACTCAGAATTAGCATGCCAAGCAGAACAACAATACAACTATTTTAAAGCTTTTTAGAGCATGTTATATCATCCAGAAAACAGCCTCTGCACTCTCAAACAGTAATTTCGGTAGTGTTGAATCTCTCTAGGCCTTGTAACTATCCCTCGCTTCCAATTTCCTCACTGCTGCTCTCCACTGTTATCAGGGCTGTCTCCATTCACACAAGTGTTTACAGCAGGCTCTCCCTGCCTTATCTTTCATCACACCTCCTTCAGGACAATGAGCAATACAGCAACTCAAGCAGAATAACAGAAAAATCAGGTACAATTAGGTGCAGCATAGTGTACAGTAAGCAGAACCGCATGTGATTTTCAGAGAGCTAAATTGTTTGCACATATATGGCAATATTATCACGTTGTGTTGTTGAAAAGTATATATTAAGGTTTAACTTAGATGTAAATGTGAACATTAAATAAATGGGAAGATGCCATTATTACTTTTTCTAGTTCAACACAAAATTAGTTTATGTATTATCTAACAAAAGATGCTCTAGCAAACTTTTTCTAATATTACATTTGCTGTAGAGCACGCTCTCATTATCCCAAGTGATTACGGTATAAACAAAAATATGATATTGCTGTTCCTGATTTAGTCTGCTCTGTGAAAAATGCAATCATACTCACAAACCTTGGTGACAAAAGTAAAAATTACAATACTGCTTTCCAAGGTTGTTACAGGGATGCAAGAGAACACTCTCCAGTATTAGTCCCTGCTGCTACTTATTGAACTGTATCAAAACACTAATTACTGATTATGCATAAGAATATCAATTTCTACACTGCTGGTCCAGGTTGGTACTCTTCAATCAAACATCACAGCTAAAAAATAGCTAAATTTATAGCTATACTTACATAGTTATAAAGTACTTTTACACTCACACATTTATGGCATATTAGAGAAACCAGCACTTCAGAAAATCCTTATCTAGTGGACACATACAGTATGGCAGCTGATCTTACAAGCTTAGTGCATGCTACAAAACGATACAATTCAAGCTTCCAAACATCCCAGGCGTCACGCCAACTCTATCCATCTTTGTTTTCAGCCATCAGTCAAAGGAATTTATCCTATCCCTTGCGCTCTACACCTTACATTTTGATATTTATCCATCTCCTCTGAGTGACAGAACAGAAGTCATTTGCTCTCCAAAAAAACACATCAACAGATGCTAATTTAATAATGTGTGGGAGAAAAAGCCAAGAAACAAATGGGGAGAAGGGCATAAACAGCTCCCAGCTGGCAGTAGCTCAGCACTTAATGCTGACATTAAAGCTTTGTCAAAAGAAAAAGAAGCATTGCATCTCTCCATGAAGTAGATCGTTTTATTTTGCATGTTTTCAGTCTTTAAAAAAGTAAGGTGCAAATGGAAAGGTTCATTATCAGTGGCTGGCTTTTAGAAGATACAGATGTATCTTTGCCAGTAAATGTGGGCAGATAAATTATCTTTGATACAGTGGTGTTCAGTGTTTGAGTAATGTTATAAGCTATATGTGCCCCATCAAAATAATAAACATTGATGAGACTCTTAAGTTATGCACAATGTTATTATGCTGATATACTTTGCACAACATTGCGAAATCACTGTAACTTCAGGAAGCAAAGTTTTCTTTAACATCTCTCATCTTTCTTTTATCCTATTTGCTCTTTAATCCAGCTGAACTGTGTATATATAAATTGCATAACTCGATAAGTGGTATTTTCCTTCATAGGTAAACATTTTCTCTCTCTGTGAGGATGGTGTCTGCTATATCTACTCTCGTCTTACCGTCTGCTACTTCAAGCTGGGCCTTGGCCATGATGCTTCCGGCCACAGTGAGGGCTTGGCAGATGTAGTACCCTGCATCTGAGCGCTGTACAGGAGAGATGGTCAACTCTCCATTCACAGACACAGACACTCGGCTGTCTCCTTGTGCTTGCTGACTGGGGAAAAGAAGATCCTATTGGGAGGGACAGTGGGGAGAAATGTAAATACGATAGATGATGTACTTGTTTAGTAGCACAAAGGTTTGGTTCATATTAACACGATAGCATCACACAGTTGATGTGTCAGCTCCACATCCATGACACAAATCTCCTGTTAAACCACACTGCAAAAGAGCTCTGTTGGATTGAGATCTTGTTACTGTGGATGCCATTTGAGTACAGTGAACTATGTTTAATGTTCCAGCATCCTGCTGGAGGCAGCTATCAGAAGATGGGTATACTGTGGTCATAAAGGGTCGACATGGTCAGCGAGCAGACTCAGGTAGGCTGTGACATTTAAACAATGTTCAATTGGTACTTAGTGCCCCGGTGTTTGTCAAGAGCATACCTCACACACCATTACACCTGCAGCCTGAGTTACTTAGCCAAGGCAGGATGGATCCTGCTTTTATGTTTTTTATACCAAATTCTGACCATACAAGCTAACTGTCCAGGCAGAAATTCACACTCATTAGACCAGACAATGGAATTCCAGTGTTATCCAAAATTGTACTATGTTGAGCCCGTGAAAATTGTAGCCTCAGTTTTGCGTTTCTCTGATGTGGTCTTCTGCTGCGATACCCTGCTTCAAGATTCAAAATGTTGTGCATTCAGTGATGCTCTTCTGTATAATTGCAGAAATTGTAACAAAACAACCTTATCTGACTAACTGTTGCCTTCCTTGTCAGCTGGTAGAGGTCTGGCTATTCTACTCTGACCTCTAACATCAACAAGGCATTTTTTTCTCAAAGAACTGCCACTCTTTGGATATTTTTGGATCATTCTCTGTAAATCCTAGAGACAGTTGTGTAAGAAAATCCCAATAGATCAGGGTGTTGTTGCTATTCCAGCCTGTCTGGCACCAAGAACCATGCCAAAGTCACTTAAATCTAATTTCTTCCCCATTCTTAAGCCTGGCTTGAACTTCAGCAGGTCATCTTGACCATGTCTACAAGGCTAAATGCATTGAGTTGTTGACATGATTAGATTAGATATCTGTGTTAAAGAGCAGCTAATCATGTTCATGTAATTAAGTGGACTGAGTGAGTGTTCTGACAATGCTCGGGTCATGTGTTTAGCTCCCCAGTGGTCAAATATGATGATACGCACTATTCCTGATAGTTATAGTTATTATTAATTATTTCAAAATGATTCTTCAGACCAAAACAACATCAACACATGCTTTCAATATACTTGAATATTCACTCCCCTGTGTACAATTCGGTTAGAAAAGTGGGTCAATGTCTCTTTCCTACAAGGTCTGAATAGCTGTTTACCACAAGAGTGCTAATTCTACTGTGATAACCTGAAGTCATGGTCATAAAACTGAGGCATCAGCGTTGTCCATTTCTGCACCCTAGGCAGACAAGCTGATGGGCAGGAAAGGACATTAGCCTGCTTTCATTATGTCTAATGACTCTAATGCAGTACATGACATTGTCTCTTGCTAAGTGAATTGGCTAGTCAGACCAGTGTAGATTGATGATAAATGACCACTTCATTATATGCGTGTGGAACAGAACCGCACTGCTTTCCATTGGCTTGTTCCATGTAGTCAGATTTTGACCATTTTTTGAAAAATTATTATGATAGCTGTGGAATCGATGCCTGTATAGGAATGCAAGCCTAAAAGAGACACGCACACCACCCTACTAAAAAATAAAAATAAGTACATATCGTTCAAATCACAGTCTTTATCCTTACCTGGCTCCCTTCTCTTTGCCAGAAGACTGTGGGTTGAGGTTTTCCTCTGGTCTCACAGGGAAAGGTTGCTGTTCGTCCTTGAGCGACTATTTGGTCACGGGGACGCACCACAAACTGAGGTGCCTCTGAGTTTAAAGGCAAAAGAAAACATAAAACAACTGCAAAGCAATTTTACAGAATTCTGATTGTGTTTTTAACAGGACTCCAGTTAAACTTTCAAAGTAAAATCCATAAACTGAATGTCCAGCTGCTAATTAAAGGGATTCATGCACTGGGTTTTACTCACTGAAAAGCTATACAGCTAAAATGAGCTGAATCCAGCTGCCAAAGTATCAGAATATTTAATAATAACTCATTAGAGTGCCCATATATCTTCATTTTTTTCTAAATAAGGCACATCTCACATATCTGTAACTCATTTTATTTCTTTTTAAAGTGACGTGTTAAATTTAAGGACTGCGGGAATAAATCAGTGGTTGACTAAAACAACCTATATATGCATGTCTAAAATTAGTTTGATGGCTGCGTTTGTGGAATGCCACAACGTACATGCATACTGAACAGGTGTGTGATTAAAAACAAAGAGCAGCGCATGCACAATGGGATCAGCTCTTACTTACCAACGGGGCGAGCTGATGACACAACAATGGTGTGAGTGAGATTTACACACAACACAGAGAGAAGGAAAGCAGAGGAGTAGAACAGAGGGACAGAAAAAAAAAAGAAATTAATGAAAATCAGAGATGAATGAGATGGAGTTGGGTTTCCATCCATGAAACTCAGGGACAGGGAGGGTAAAAATCAGTCACCAAAGCAGGTGATGACGTGGACCTTAAGGAAATAGTACCTTGTTGGTGTTTGTGAGATAAGAAACTGATGGCAAAAAACTGCTGAACAGTTATATCGCTAATGATTTATCAGCTTTAAGACTAACAGACTTGCAAACTTAATAGATCTGTTGGTAGATTAAAAGTCATGTAAATGAAATGGATCATTGATGAGAGCGGGCTGATTAAAGATGAGATATGTTGTGTACATTATGCTGTGTTTTCTATGCATTTGTTGTTAAGAAGTTAAGATAATTAAGAAGATAATTTTAGGTGATTCAAAATAAGCTGCACTTGGTTTCCTTTCTTCTGTCATACATACAGTCTGTTCTATCATCAAAGTGTCAGCTGACATTTAACATGTCCAAAGTTTAAAATAAGAAGGTCAGAATATGTGCTGAAGCAATTTCATTGTTCTCTGACAATGACAATAAATAAATAAATACTAAAATACTAAAAGGTAATGTAATCCTTTTGAATCCATAATTCAGACTTCAGACCTCCATAACTGTTTGTTTTTAGGCTTTTTTTGTGTGATGTCATTTAGCGCAGATAATCTTAATATGGTTAATTCAGACACACAGGTCTGGTTGTGGACACAGCATCCGCCTTCCATTCAAACCTTTTTGGTTATGTTTCGTTAAGAAAGTTGGCTGTGGGGCCGGGGGGGGCGCTGCTGCGCTGGGCCCCGGTCTGGATGGGCCTGGGCCCCCTTTCCCTGGCGGGTCGCGGAGTATGGGAGTGCCTACTGGGGTCAGCGGGGGAGCTGGCCCCAGGGAGGGGTCACCTGCCTCTCCCTTCCT